GATATCAATATCATCGGCATACGCCAGCAGCTGTACACTCTTATAGAAGATGGTACCTTCTCTATTTAGTTCTGCAGCTCGAACTATTTTCTCCAGAAATTTATACAGATCACTGCCAATATATTCTTAAAATATAATTTAAGTTCGGAATTTGCGGTCGTTGAATATTTCAACAGGATAACAATCCGAAATATACAGCTCACAATACAAAGCTGTAAATATTCTACAAGACCCCAAAAGTTTTATGAAAGCCTACTCAGATTATTAACGTGTTATCCGCAAACACAACGTAACATCCAAAACTTGCCTCCAAAATGACATTCCGAGCGAATGGGGAGAAATGTCTGCGAAGCGAACGAAAAAATAGTATTTTTGCCGAATAGATTAAAATAAGTTATGAAGATGAATGAATACGCTACCCGATGTTAATTTTAGCTTATATGTACGATTTCTTTACAAAGCCTTTTGTTATATTCACCTATTTCTTCAGTTAGAGTGTTTTTACCTATGTTCCTTTGAAATGAAATCTTAATTCTTTGGGTTAAAAAACAATACAGTAATTAAATAACTTATTTTAATAATAATAATGCCCGGTTTCACAGTCGCTATTTAAGTTATTCTTAAGTACTGAAAATGGGAGACTTAAGCAGTGCTTAAGTAACAGCTGATTTTTGTTTTGAACTTTCAGTTATTTGTCGAAAGAAGAATAATAAGAAATAAGAAATAATTTTTTGTGAAAAAATATGGAATCGGACTGGAAAGTTATGTATTGCCCGTTATAATTTAAATATTTCAAAAATATTTTTTGGATGAATTTTGTAAAAGATTTTGTTGCACATAACGTTGCCTATATCATAATAAAATTTTATAGAAATTAAGCATTGACTGTGAAACTCAAAGGACTAGTCAGTCTGCAACAATGCTTAGCTAAGATTTTATTTAATTTTTTTAGAAAACTTTTGTAAGAGTTGTAGGTAATTTCTCCTCAAATTAATTTTCTGAATAATTTTGTGGGGCATTTTATCTGTAATTAAAGTAGTAAGTAGCATACGTACATATGTATTCATTTCCTGTTGCATAAAATAATGATTTCATTGATATTACTTACCCATGTCATCTTCAGGTTGCGAAAAGTAATTGATTAAATCTTCAAGGCACATGACCATTTCGTTTAAGTTTACTTTTTGAAAGAATATTGAATGTCGTCGATTAGATTGTAGTGTTTCCAAAGCACTATAATTATTAAAAAGTTAATAAATTAATTTTTTACACATATTTTAGCCGGATCTACTTTCATCAATATCAATGCAATATTATATGGCTTCGATTCGCAAAGAGTAGAGCTCCAGCGAATTGAACAAACTATATCAGAAGCTCAAACGAACGGGGTTTGTCCGGAAAGTAATAGGACTTAGTCAATTTAAAAAAATATATTGAATCAATCAATACTATTATTTAAAAACTTTCAAAATACACTCTTTCTGCTTGGACGCAGCAGCATTGAAGGCGCAATGGAAGGTATTCTCCGGAATAGCATTGAAAGCCGAGGTGCATGCTCCTTGGATCCCCTTTCATCATCCTTTGCAAGAAAGGAAACAAAAAAGGCTGTGGGCACATCTGAGCTATAGGCGGCTGCGAGAGCGTTGAGATGCTGCCTTGTTTAGGCAAGAAAGATGGTATGAGCAGGGGTGTTGTCGTGATGCAACTTCTAATCGGCTGCGATGTTTTGTCGTACCTGATCGACCCTTCTTTTGAGTCTCTTGAGGACTTCCACATAAAACTTGACCTTGACGGTTTACCAAGGAGGAACAAATTTATGGTGGATGATGCCTTTGATGTCAAAAAAGACAATGAACATAGTTTTCACTTTGGATTTGCTCATTCTTCCGGTCTCATCATCGACCTCTTCCCGGCCCTCTAAAGAGGCATGGTGCCACTGAAACACACCACTTCTTATTAAAGCAACATCCAGGTAAGCCAGTTTATCATATCAAATGTCTCTGTCACAGATTTTAATCACTTACCTCTAACGACTGCTGCATTTTCGGCTTGTACAACTCACTGAAACACTTTGGGCGAAAATCAGTATGCATGCTCTAGGTGCTCGAATAGGACTCACCAGAAACTGGTTCGCTAGCTACGATCGCCCTTTACCGAATCCAGTCGTTGCGCGCACGCTTCAAAGTACAGTCGGAGCGGAAGAAAATCAGTCCTATTACTTTCAAGACAATCCCTGTATGTTACAAACTAAACTTATCTTCTGTTGCATGCGCAGTAGTTTTACGATTCTTTAATTAATTTATGTCTTATGTTTTACACATACAAATATTACGAATTCAACTCGATAACTTTGTTGTTGACTTTGTAAGTAATTTTTTTGACAAGTGAGCAGAAGCGAGCAAGGAAATGGCGAATCGAAGAAGGCTATTGATAAGTAGGTAATATAAGAAATAAATGCTGGAATTTGAAGAAAATTAGAGACATAACTTGGGAAATTAGTTTCAAAATTTACATAATTATTAAAATTATCGTTTCCATGGACAGACGGATTAATATACACATGTATATAACACTATATCTATCTGGATTAATTTTACAGCCGTTAGTTGAGCAAGGCATTATTATTTGTTGAACAATATGCGAAAGTATAAAAATAACATCAAAACATGATAAAAATTATGTAGAATCAATTTTGAGTTAAACTGTAAAGTTAATACCGCGATATTAATATGGTATTTGCTCATACTGTGACAGGTCAGATTTTTGTTTTCCACAATTAAACACATAATGATTATAAAATGCACTACTATAGTTACTTGATGAATTGTGTAAAAAGACTACTGCATTTTCGAATAACCCGCGCAGTTTTGGATTCCTCTTCTTGAGATCGTGAAAAGTCTAAACAATCATCCATTTTTCCCTCTTCATGAAGAATTGCTTGTTTTTCTTCCACTTTGCCGACACCCTTTTTCTTAGTTTCATAGCTTTTGTAGCTGAGCCATAGGCTGGACTCACAGTGTTGCACAATAACGGTGGTATCACCATACTTGATGATAGGTACACCGATAACTTCTAGATCTTTGTCCTCCAGTACTTTTTTCTCGTCATCTTTTTCCTGTCTTAAGCAGAAAGTCGTTGATGCAATAGATGCTTCCTCTTTTTTCACCTTTTCAATAAAAAAGTACAATTTATATATCAACGAAAGCTTAGCGTAAGGCTTAACTACCAAAACTAATTCGTTATTTTCGTTCACACCAAGATATCGTCCAGTGGTAATGTGACGTATGCGCATTGGATGATACCAGTTAATAAAGCCACCAGTCCATTTAGTGCGTGCCAATTCGAGACGCCATAACGAACGAGCTTGCGACATTACTGAGCCACCCTCATACACAACAATGCTGAGGTAAAAAATATTGTTGGAAAACAGTACGCATATTTATAAAAGAGATAACAAAATATAACATTTAGAAATTACTTTTGGCCTGCTTCACGACCCCATGTACTTGGTATAGTTAAACATTCATCACCGCCATGAAAAAATCGTAAAACATCACCGCCAAAAACATATCCAACATATTTCACTCGGGATATACCAGTTCCATAAGGTTGAACCGACCAGTGCGTTACATGAAAACTGGCGTTAACAATTGACTGTTCGTTTTCTTTAGTGGTGTGCTGTTGATTAGAATATATAATAGTATTAAATAGTAAAGGGTTTGCTTTAAGTTAAGTATATACCAAATATCGTTCGGTGGCTACAGAAACTAAAATCAGATCATCACCCACTCGTACTTTCTCGCCTTCAGACCTTTGTTTACTTGCAGGATGTACTGTCCACCAGCAAGCCTCACCTTGGCTATGTTCTTGCAATCCAACGTCAAAAGACAGCTTATCGTTTGAGGAAGAAGTGGAAAGGCATGCTAGGTACTACCGAAAATTAAAGAAATTATTATTTAAGACTAAACTATTTTATTTCTACTCTTTATTAAAATTTTGCAATGCTGATATACCAATATTCCGAAGATTACGTGCAGTTACCAGTTACTTACCATATCACTATTATGATGCCGCAAAAGTATAGCATTACCATAAAGCAATGTCCTGTGACCAGAACCAGTTCCTTTTCCCTGGAAGTAAGCAAGGCAAGTGCGAGCATTCATGTATAAAAAGGCTACAAATTACGAATCAAGCAATACATATGATTAATTTCTTTCACATATTTATGTATGTACATATATAAATTTCGGAATAATTGAACTGAAGAAAATAAAATATTGATACTTATATAATCTAAAATAATCGGACGAGCGTACTATCACTTTTATAAGGCTATGACATAAGATATGACGAATGACGAATGAATGAAAAAATGTATGAGTTTCGCCAATTAACACTGATTATTTACATTTCATGCAACAATTTTTTTTTTTTTTTTTGTTTTCATAAATGTTTTATATTTTTAGATTGTTTTGCTAAACAGAATTACTTTTAAATGCCAAATTAAATTGCAACTATTAATTTAAAATATGTAAGTAAAAGTTTGAAGACACTGCCCCATGCTGCCCCAACATGCTACGATTACTTGTTACTTATGTGGCATTGGGAAGTAATCAGATATTGATACAGCTAACTTTATCTTAAATGTTCAGTTTCTTATTAGGAGTTTACTTCTTACTTATATTTCACTATTGAAGCTCTTTAAATTAAACAAACAATTTCTTGAAACAATTTCTCGAAAGCTTTCTATATATACTTTGTTGTATATGGTATCTGACTATTACGTGTAATTAAAAAAAAAAAAAAACATAGGCGTAACAATATTTGAGTAACTCCATAATAGGCACAGGGATAGAGGTCAAAGCAATGCAAAAAGATGGTGGACGACATAAACGAATTATAATTTATCGTTATTCCTACTTGAAGTTAATTGTGTCAAGGCAAGCTGGAGCATGAAAGTAGAAAAAAAATTTCTGACTTATCGAAGTTATGTTCAACATGCGTACCATACATAAGTTGACGAGTTCATCTCATAATAGCATGCATATTTTACTCAACACTCTCTAAAGCTGCTGTTACTTGTACTGATCGACTTGTACACATAGACCAGTGGTCGGCATGAGAGAATCTGTCACTGTGTTGGTGAGCACGAAGAAGAGTAGCCCAGTGAGAAATTGGAATTCAAATTAAGCAAATTGTATAAGCAAAATTCTCAAAGATTCCATCGGAAAACGGCCTACCATGCTAACAATCTTCAAACTAATGGAACTTGATAGCTGTGTTTTTAGGTTTTCATTAATACGTTCAACATAATATAAGTATTCGTTTTTACGCAACCAATCAGATATTTTTTGCAAAATAATATATATTTTTTTCTTAAAAAAGACATTTTCGTTCTTTTTCATCTAAATAATTAATAGTATACTGAAAATTAACAAAATTTATTTTAAGGATATATTCCCTATTAACATATCTTTAAAAGTCTTGGAACATAAAAGACATTGCGTGGCACCAAAGGCATTTAGAATGATAAAATATTTCTCGCAGGGCATATTTGGTTTTGCGCTGTAGTCTTGCGTGATGTTAATTCGTTACTGGTTCGATAACGACTGATAGATAGAGCGTAAGAGTGTGAAGATACAATAGTGCTAAGAAAGGCCGACCACTGACATCGACCGCCCATAGTCCAATCTATATATATAAAAGAGAAAGGATGTCAGTATGTTCCAGGTAGGCTCCGAAACGGCTGGACAAATTTCAATGAAACTTTAAGGAAATCTTTAAATTGACCTGACGAGTAATCCTGTAAAGTTTGATGATAATCAGAGCACTGTTTTATTTTATTTTTTTATTTTATTTTTTTTTTTGAACTGTCAAATACAGTTCTTATTTACAATGGTGATTCCATTGTTTTAAGACCTAAATTTGTGTTGACAAATTGGTTGTGGATATAAGTATATGTCAATACTAGCTGATCCCGCAGCCGTTGTCTTGCGTGAAACTATGCGACTCTTTGTCCTGTTTATTGTCATCTCAAATACAATTTTCACTGGAAACGGAATGCTTTTGAACTGAAATGGCAAATCGATAGAACTCAAAGGAATTCGTAGAATCAATCATTATCCCCCATATCGGCGCATTGCGAAACATAATAATGACAGATCCAACTTTGAGACGCAAATGATGCACTGGCATACCAAACATCTCCAAAGAATTTAGAAATTCCGCTGGATAATTCACGGCGTCGTCTTCATTGTCAAGTAATATCATTTTTGTTCATATCATATGTAATTGACGCGGATTTGAAGGCTGATATTTCGAAAAGATCATCGCGAAAAGTGTGCGAACTTCATTAGCATCGCATCTTTCATCGTTTGATTCCAGTGATTATCATGTTCCAACAATTCTAATTGCTGACTTGCTTCTCAAAAAGTTGCACACATGTACCTCAAATGAATTTGAACCGCGTACATTAATCAATTTCAACCGAAGGCAGAAGCAATCGTCATTTGGGTGGATTGTGTAAATTCGTCCTAATGCATTAGTCGAGAACACAACTGGATGTCCATCTACTATTTGGCGTTGCTTTGTATTCTCTGGGTTGAAATACACTCTTTGGCCATTCTCCAAATTAACTGTGAGACGCACAACAATCGGAACGCGTTCATGAATTGCAAAAAAATATCCTACAAAGCGCTTTATTGCAGTTCACGGATCGACCGTATCCAAATAAGACTAATAACCGCCATGTTGCTTCCTTGAGTGACGTACTTACAAACGTATTTTATCGATTTCACCAAACTGCAGTACTCAACTATGAGTTTTGAATGTGTATTAAACAATAATGATTAATATAGTACAGTCCATGTGTTGTCAACTTCGATATTTACTCTTCTAAATTGAATGCTAAATGTTCTGTCATTGTCGTCTGGTGATGTTAATGTTTCGAGCATTTATTGTCAGACATACAAACCGAAGTAGGATTGTGATGTCCATAAGGTCCGTGAACCATATTGGTTTTCATCGCTTTCTATAATACTGGATCTTTCTCTGCATCAGGAATTTCCGCAGAAATTATTTCATTAATTTGATTCAGTGTAACCACCATCCACTATCCAACTAACCTTTTTTTTCAACAGAATACATCCAGCATCTAACAGCACCATATATACCATATGTTGCGTCAAGATAAAGTCCATCAAACATCGAGACTGTTGTTTGAAAAGTTGTGCTGTGACATTGTGACGATCGCTTGCTGATTGATCGCTATCCATAATTTCGCACAATTGTTCACTTTCTCTGAAACACACATACAGTTTTCACTGAATAATTTTCAACATTTTTTCTTTTGAATAGCCGGATAAAAAAAGGAAGCGACCGAATTTGAACGATTCAAATAATAGAAAAAAAAAGATATTATGGAAAAAAGGTGCTTTTTGTAATTGTCCAATTTCCCGACTCACCTCACGAAAAGCGTACGGTTTTTTTATTTCAAAACCTTCTCCTCTGAAAATTTCATCATAATTGGTGTAGCCGTTCTCTTAGCGTTACTAACCAATAAACATTCATTCGTTTGTATGGGAAAAAGAAAAGGCGTGTTTTTAGGGGGTTTCCGGCAATTATTCGAAATTCTTGAATCTCAACGAACATTTAGAAAAAAAAATCGACCAAATTGGTGCAGGCGTTGTTGAGTTATGCGCTTAGCAACACATTTTGCGATTCATTTTTATATACCCGCATTAGACAAGCGACCTCATGCATGCTTTTGCCTACAAGCGTCTTTTCGCGACGATGACAAGAGCTAAATCATAAATTTAACAACTTTCTGATGCTTCTTCACAGAAAGAAGTCAGAAAAGTGGCAACGTAGCTGGTGTCGATTTACAATATTTGTCAATTCTAAAATATTTTTCCGTGACTCGCAAAAATCTGCGTCGATATATATGCAAGCTCATATATATGCATACATCTTTACGCCAGTTTGTAGACGAAGCTGTTACAGCGGCGAGGGAAGCGGTCAATAGGCGGCCATTGGTTTATTTTTTTCGGCACATCTTGGATTTTCTATCATCACACAAGTGCTGAACTAATCAGCGCGACAGATATTAGAATACACACTTTCTTAGGGACACAGGTATTGAGGCAGCTGCACAACTACATAACTGTATCCCTAAGAACGTGTGTATTTTAATATTTGACAGATGTCGCTTGCAGACTGTCGTGCTCAATGTGTTCAGCACTTGACTCTTTGACAAAAGGAAGTTTCGGCCATTGGTTGACCGTGACAACGGAGATGCGAAAGCGTGCGACACTTGTAATTATGAATGTATTTACATATGTATATGGCTCGCATTTGCTTTCGTAATCATACAGGAAAATGTGCCAAAGAAATAATATATGTACATATGAATGTGTCATAGAAAGGTCATCAATTTTCTTCTTCGCTTTTTAATAGCCGAAATAAATAAAATTTATTTGAAATATTAATTTATTTAAAATAAAAACTAGGCAGTTAAATGGTCTTGACCATAAAATAATTTATTTGGATAAGGATTAATATAAACACATAAATAGCATGGTTTGAATTTGGTTAGCATTTTCATTAATGTTTAAAATGAAAAAGTTATTATAGTGACATAACTAGAATAGTTGGACATATGCTACCGCGGAGTTTTTTGTAGACATTATGATGTTCTTCAATATTGTTGTACATTATTTTGTTCTATAGCTAATAGTTTCGGCAGCGCATTCGCCTAAAGACATTTCAATACTAATTTTTCAACAACTTCGGTTACATTGTTCAAATTTTACCAAGGATCCCTAACTTTTTTTCAAAATGAAATGTAGCCTATGTCAAATTGGAAGAATGTAGCATTCTATTGGTGAAAGAATTTTTTAAATCGGCCCAGTACTTCTTGAGCCTATTCATTACAAACATACAAAAATAGGTACAAATCTTTCCTCTTTATAATATTAGTGTAGATGAAACATATTTAAGTACAATTTAGAATATTGAAGTACATTAAATTAAATAATTAAGAACTTTTAGGAATCATGTTTCTTCACAGAATCATTGTAATAAATAAAAATGGCACCCAAAAAAGGAAGTATTGGTAAAAAAAACCTCCAAA